GGAAAAGCGTCCGTGGCCAATCTAGACGCGCTTTTGCGCAAAAAAGCCCCGATCGCCATTTTAGCCATCGGGGCGTTTTTGCGCAAAACAGTACTGTGCTGTCTACACTAGCCCTCTTGCGAAAATGATTTGCGCAAGAGGGCTTTTGCCCGAATGGGAGCTGCATAGTATTTCCGCAAGAACACTGACAATCTTACATGAGATCCTCAGTGTTCTTGCGGAAATTCAAGCGGCCAGTGTAGACAGCTGGCAAGTTTTTCCGCAAAAGCAGATGATTTTGCGGAAAAACTTGCCAGTCTAGACACCGCCCCAGTGTAGACGCTCTCGCCCAAGAAAGCTCCAATGGCCATTTTAACTATAGGGCTTTCTTGCGCAAGAAATTTATGTTGTCTACACTGGCCTCTTGTGCAAGAATAGTTGTTTTTCCGGAAAAACACTGACGGTTTTACATTAGATCGTCAGTGCTTTTCTGGAAATTCAAGGGGCCAGTGTAGACAGCTGGCAAGTTATTCCGGAAAAGCGGCTGATTTTCCGGAATAAGCGGCCAGTGTAGACACAGCCCCTGTGTGCACAGTGCCTAAAGCCAAGTTAAGCTATTTCGACTTAAGCTACGCAATTGACGAAGCTGAAGTTGCGTAGCTTAATTCGACTTTAGCCCTGCTGTGTAGAAGTACCCCTACAGTCCCTGTCCTTTCTCCCTTTGTAATGGCTTGTGTTTAAAACTTATTTCACTCCTGCTTTGGTTCTTAGCACTCCTTCATTTCCCTCCATTAGGCCTGTCCAGATGGATGCCATTTTGTCACTTCAGTTTTTGCAATACATCATCGTAGCAGTGATTTTATTAATATTAGTAAATAAAAGTTGATTGTACAGGTTAAACCTCTCTAGTTTGCCACCCTTGGATCTGACTGGTGCAGAACCAGAGAATTTGCCAGGTCACAGCATTAACAGTACTTCCACTGCTTGCTGGGCTCTTACACTACATCTAGGTTACGTCTACACTGCCATGATTTTCCAAAAATGCTTTTAATGGAAAAGTTTTCCGTTAAAAGCATTTTCGGAAAAGCGCGTCTACATTGGCAGGGTGCTTTTCCGGAAAAGCAGTTTTTGCGGAAAAGTGTCCGTGGCCAATCTAGACGCGCTTTTCCGCAAAAAGGCCCCAATCGCCATTTTTGCGATCGGGGCTTTTTTGCGGAAAACACTACTGTGCTGTCTACACTGGCCCTTTTGCACAAAATAAGATCTCCTTTTTTTGGCACTGGTGAGGCCACGTCTGGAGTATTGCATCCAGTTCCGGCCCCCCAGAATGGTAATCCATTTTATTATGTGGACACCTGGCTGAGGGATCGGTTTGCCTTTTGTCTCTGAAGAGCTGGTTTGTCCAGAAAGGATGTGGATGCATTGGAGAGGGTCCAGCAGAGGGCAATGAAAATAATGAAGGGGCTGGAGCACATGACCTACGAGGGGAAGCTCAGGGATTCAGGCTTATTTAGTCTGCAGAAGCGAAGAGTGAGGGGGGATTTGATAGCAGCCTTCAACTTCCTGAAGGGGGGTTCCAAAGAGGATGGAGAGAGGCTGTTCACAGTAGCTAGTGATGGCAGAACAAGGAGCAATGGTCTCAAGTTTCAGTGGGGGAGGTCTAGGTTGGATATTAGGAAAAACTATTTCACTAGGAGGGTGGTGAAGCACTGGAATGGGTTACCTAGGGAAGTAGTGGAGTCTCCATCTCTAGAGGTTTTTAAGTCTCAGCTTGACAAAGCCCTGGCTGGGTTGATTGAGTGGGGGTTGATCCTGCTTTGGTCAGGGGCCTGGACTCGATGATTCCTGAGGTCTCTTCCAATCCTAGGAGTCTATGATCCCCAGAAATGTGTGTATTGTACCACCCAACTTGTCCTGGACAATACAAGCACCTGGAAGAGAGTGACCAACTAGGGGCAGGGCTCTCCATACTGTTGGGGAGGATGAGCTATGGGGCAGGCACTGGGGAACAGAGAGAATTCGAACCCAGAGCGAATTAGGAGGCAGGTAAGTAGTCCCCTCTCCCCAAACCTCTCTCCCCAGCCCTCGGCCACAGGGGAGGATGAGCTATGGGGCAGGCACTGGGGAACAGAGAGAATTCGAACCCAGAGCGAATTAGGAGGCAGGTAAGTAGTCCCCTCTCCCCAAACCTCTCTCCCCAGCCCTCGGCCACCTTCCCGCCTGAGTCCCCAACACCATCTATAGCTGGCCCTTTAAGCATGGCCAAGGCCCTCTGGCCTGAGTCCATAGCGCAGTCTATAGCTGGCCCCTTAAGCAAGGCCTAGGCCCTCCGGCCTGAGTCCACAATGTAGTTCAGGGTTATAGCGGGGCACACCCCCGGGTAGGGGGACCCGGGCCCACCCTACTCCACCAGGTCCCAGCCCAGGGCCCTGTGAGCGACCGGGTAACGGGTCACTCCCTCAGCAGGGCAATCCAGCCAAAACACACCAAGGTTCTCTGGGCAGGAGAGGCAGCTCCCCCTCCTGCCCTTGGCCACTTCCTACCCCGTTCC